AGGACACTATCAGGACTTGTATAGACACCCGCTTTGTAGACTTCTTTTTGTTGTGAACTGGTACAGGTTTTCTGATGTCGCTGTAATCGTGTGTAGTGTTTCCAAAGTTTCCCACAAAGCGAGCACCCAAAAGTTTTAGAAGCTACAGCTATTTTGGAAATGTACATAAAATGCTGCTCGTAAGCCAGCAGATGTAAAGTTTTACTAAATTTTCCAGAAGTTCTGAGAAGTGGGATCAGAACCTGCTCCTCATCAAACTGAAAAACAGAAATATTGACTTTGAAACAACTTTCTAAAGAACTGATATCTTTTAAGGAGATACCTGGGAAAACAACAGACCGAGACAATTTACTATAAGTACGCCACTGTCGGAACAATTTACGTGCGGGTTTTCTCATATCTTTATCAGAACTACCGGAATGTAAGGCAAGACACCGAAAGAAACATAAATTATCAGTGTAGGGTTTGGAGTGTGAATCTTTCTGTAGTGTATGGATACCTTTATTGTTGGTTATGTGTGCAGGCAGATCAGACAACACACTACCGAGGGGATGTTCAGGTATAGGAAATAGATAGAAACTAGTGGCAGGTACAACCTCCAGTGTATATTTCGTATCAGGACGATTCTGAGATGATATGATGTCATGTTGATTGACTTGAGAGACGAAGTCGGCAAAGTCAGAGGGATTGTTGATAAGTTTAGGTAGAGTTAACACCGCCGCGTTATTGATGCAGGCGTGAAAGAATCGCAGTTCGTTGGTCTCACGGTGTCGCAAAACACTGTGATGCGAGTAATTAATTTTAAAACGACGTGTCTGCCTTTGAAAAATAGGATTTAACAAGGAGGCCCAAGATGAGACAAAAGGAGCTTTCGGAGTGTGATAAAAAGTAAATACAGACATTTTTTTATTGATTTTATGGTGTGTGTGAATGGCTGACCAATTGTCCCTGTATATTTTGCGTATGTCTGTTGGTAAATCGTGCAAGGAAATATCGTCTGTGTGTTTGTACTTTTTGCTTTTAGGCAGAGATTTTTCTTTTTCTTGTTGGTGGGGCTGAAGTTCCAGCGAAGGAAAGTGCTGGTTCTTCGAGCAACGACGTAACTGTTGGTTTTGTTGTCGGAACAGTCGAGTCGGAAATACCAACAGCAACTGGCGTTACATACGAGGGTGACACGAAAACACTTGGCACAGAAACGACACTATTGTTTATGGCATTGTATGGCGGTAACTGAGAGGTACCGAAAAAGTCATTAGCGGTTGAGTTCGTAGGCGACCCCCACAACAAATTGTCACTGGTCATTTGAGCTTTGTTACTATTGGAGGCGCGGTTTCTATATTCAACATTGTCTTCTGGTAAAGTATTCACCAGTGGGTTTGTTGCAGAGGGAACACGGAAAACGGAAAAGTCGCTACTTTTAACGACTGTCTTAGAGGGTCCCTGTGGTACTAGGGCCGATGATGTAGAGGGTACTGTATTATTCTGTTTCTTTCTGTTGAAACTTGCCGGCGAGGCAGAAGGCTGTTGTTGTTCAGGTGTTGCAACTATTGTCCCGTAGGAAGTTTGCGGAATGCATGGCACTGTGGCCGATGACATAGAGGGTGCTGTAATTGTCTGTCCCCTTCTGACGAAAATTGCCGGCGAGGAGGAAGACTGTTGCTGTTCGGGTGCCCCGCAGGAAGTTTGCCGAACACCGCTGTTATTGGGCGGCGGGACAACTGACGGATGCATCTTGCGCTGGTGCCGTTTCAAACTGTCCAACCTGGCAAAAGTGCCACCACATAGTACACAACAAAACATCTGCGCTCTATTGTGTACTGTCTTTATGTGTCTGGTCAAGTCATGGAACCAAGTAAATGATTGGCTACACTCCCGACACTTGAAAGTTTGTTCTTTCGATGCCATCTAAAAGAGAAAAAAAATTATAGATATCCGGCAGGATAACAGACGACATATGCAACAGAAATAAACACAGCGCTAATTAGTTCCTGACATGGGGCTAGTGTCATTAACATGGTACAGGCAAGGAGTTCGTCCAGACCACCGTAATAATAGCTGTGGAATGAACGTGAACAGACAAAAGCTATGCACTTTGTCGATGGTATAATTCTTTAACATAAAACAGGCGCCTTTGGTATAATTCTTAAACACCTTCAGCCCGTAACAATTTTGGCTGTTATCGGTTTCTGTTGGCTGTCACTCTTTCCTTTTGGGGCAGTAAGGACACCTTACGTTGATCTGTCCAGTTAGTAACCAAGTCATTCGCCGTCTATTGAAAGCCGACCGAGACAGTCGCACATGATTCTGAAACAAGGCAGAGAGGCTCCCTAAGTTATTCCCCGAGTTGAAGAAACTAGCAGAGTATTATGTTATTACAAACCACTCAAGGGTCACTTGCAAGCACTGGTGATGTCGATAAGCCGAGGAAAAAAAAAATGGTATACCTACTTAAGGGGAAAAATGTTCTTACGAAAAGACCATTTCACACTTTAACACAGCAGAAAACCAGCTTAGTTCGTTAACCACAGACACAAGCACCTCACCTGAATTATTTTCTCAACTCCGTTAGATCCCTTTTCGAATACGA